AACACATTCCAAAGAATTAATAACATAAGTGAGGATGAAATAATGAAACAAGTATGTAAAATCGTTGACATCCAAAACCTTTAGATTTGCACCAGTCAATTAGTCTTGCAATTAAAAATATTATATATAACATTATAAAGCCAAATAACATGTAACAATTAGTGTTGTGTTAAAAAAAGTAAAAGACAAGGAACTATGTGATAATAGTTTAACAAGTTTTTGGAGAGTGGTAAAACATTTAGGTTTTCGATATAAAATGACAAATAATAGACAAGTAGTGTGTGAACTCTCTACTGTTGTTTTAAAACGGTGGCATTGTTTAAGAAAATACATGAACAATAAAACGTCTGATAGTCCAAGGCAAGTTATATTTTTAGATGAAACTTGGATTTTCGCTAAAGGAAATATGTCAAAATCATCCTAGCAAGATGGCACCATGAAATATCATTCTTCTAGTCATTCCGAAAATGGTAAACGCTACATTATGCTTCATGCTGAAAATGAACCCAAAAGGGTTTTATTTCTAACGCTAGTTTAATTTTTTTTGTCCACAAAGAATACAGAAATGGAAATATGGATGTAAATATTTTTGAAAAATGGTTTGAAGAAAATTTGTTAAAAAAAATTGGAGCGACCATCCATAGTAGTATTGGATAATGCGTCCTACCACTAAAGAGTAAAAGATAGATTTTCTTCAAGCAGTCGAATTAGTGCAATTTGGTCTTTTAATGAAACATGTTTTTATCTACTTTGAGATTTAAACCAATGAAAAGTAATTTTAACAGACAATTTACAGGCAGCAGTTGTAGAAAAATTAGAAAAATACGTGTTTGAGTAGATTCGAATTAATTTTTGGAAATGTTATACGACATAACTGACATAAGAACAAATATGACATTCGTATACAAAAAGATGCGTTTTTTCAATAATATTTACAAAATAAGGTAACTATTACTACTAAAACATTATAATTACGTAGAACAGTTAAGACACCATAAAAATATGAGTTCAGCAAAAAATGCGCAACTGGAAAATAAATTCGACCTGTTTGTATATATATTCTTTTTCTTACAGTTCAAGATTCTCCTCTTTTCCCTAGTCCTCTCTTTCCAAATACCTTGCCCTGAAGAATGAGTTGCAATAAGTCATATCTGTGTTTATTTTTTATAAAATTTGATAGTGAATCGCATTCCTTGTCCATTCTACGTAATACTTCAATATTAGTCACACGATCCACCCATGAAATCGTAAGATGTGTATGTAAGACCTCATCTCGAAGGCCTCGAGCTTTTGTGAAAAAGCTTTAGAGATCGTTCATACCTCTACTTGATAAAGTTATAAATCATGACTTTTGAAAAGAGACTTGATCTTTACGAACGCTGATCTTGCTTTCCCTCTGCGTTGTTTTATTTCAGTTGAGTGGTCCCAGTGGCTGTTTATGTTAGTACCAAGATATGTGTAGCTGTTTACCCTGTCAATTGGCTGTTGAATATTATATATATATATATATATATATATATATATATATATATATATATATATATATATATATATATATATATTTGACTACTTTATTACTAATCTCTTTTTTGTACAATTTTTTATTACATAACTTCATCATTAGTTTTAAAAAAATATGCGTCTCTAATTGCAACATGCACTGCAAATGCAATAAATATAACAAACCTATTGTGCTTGTCTTTTTTAACTTTTTAAATGCCTTCGACTTGTATATCAACAAAAATTCTTAGACTCCTTAGCCAAATGCAGAATCGACTATAGATACCTAGCAACATTAAAATATACTTACAATAACGCAACATCACATGCTAAAATTACAAACAAATAATACACAAACACATTAACTATAGAGAGAGATGTAAGACAGAGTGACACACTCTCCTAAAAAATATTTGTAGCCATCCGGCAAAATATGCTTAATACTATACAATAGAGATTACCTGAGATGATGTTAATCACCTATGTTTTGCGGACGATGTTGTATTGATTTCAGATTATATCTTTTTTAATTGGCAATCATAATGGCTATTTTAATTTTTGAACTTACTGTTTCAAACATATAAAACGATCTGCATTGATACCAATCACGTAGATTTTTTAACAAAGAATTCTGCCTTCGGCTAACAGATTTTCTTCCTTGAATATTTTCCTGTAATATCTGCTTTAAAATTATATACTTTGCCCCCCTCAACAAGCAACCTACGGATTCCAGTTGTTTGTATAATGATAATTGGTTCTGATTCTTTACCAACCCTGTCTAGTACTTTTTCCAGAGTACGAAAGTCTCGATTCTTTTTAAATTTCATTTTTTAAAGTTCAATTCGCAGCTCCATATAGTAATATTAAAAATATATAATATCGAATGGTACGTAGTCTGATTTCCAAATTAAGATTTCTCCACGTTAGGAGTGGCTTCATTCGTATAACTACTTTCTGGCAATCTCTATTCGCCTTTTTATTTCTGCAGTATGATCAATACTTTCATTAATCAAAATTACCAAGTAGTGATGTTTTTCTACTTGTTATATACCATTAATTGCCAATATGTGGTGTATATTTTAGTCCTTTGTAATTAGCATATCTTTTGTTTTTTTAGCGTTTTTAGTAATTTCCATGTTAGCACTGTTCATACTTAAGCTTTTGATTACATGCCATAGGCTTGTGTTGTACATTAACGATCACATTGTCATCTTCATATACAAAAGTTTTAATTAGTTTTCCATTAACGAAAACTCTTGTTTTGATATTATTAAGCGTGTTTTTGAAAATTTCTTAAGAATATAAGTTAAAACAAAGATTTAAGCTCTTCTATACTACACATACTTACACAGATGGAAAGAATACTGTGGACGACTGATGATGGAGGAAAGCACAGACGCCCCATCACAACAAGAAGATGCCAGTTTTGCGACGGAACCTGACGTACTCAAAAGTGAAGTTGAAGCAGAAATTATGAGGCAAAAAAGTCAGAAATCTGTCGGTCCAGATAACATACCTATTGAAATGATATGGGCCCTAGATCACGTTGAAGTGGATATAATACATCAAATTTGTCAAAGAGTGTGGGAGACAGGTAAATGGTCTGAGGACTGGACACAATCACTATATATTCCCATACATAAAAAGGGAGCGAAAGATTTGTGTAGCAACTATCGCACAATTGTTCTAATTGCGCATTGCAGTAAGATAATCTTACACATAATTTTTGAGAGGTTAAAGCCCTTTTTACTACCTAACATTGCGGAGGAACAAGCAGGTTTCGTCCCCGGACGTGGTACTAAAGAACAAATTTTAAACGTACGGTAGATTGTAGAAAAATCCAGAGAATTCAACATCACAAAATATTTGTGCTTCATAGATTAAAGTAAAGCTTTCGATTTGGTCAACTGGAGTAAAATGTGGCAGGTTTTGTCTGAAATGGGAGTCCCCAATCATCTGATACTGCTAATTAAAAGCCTGTAAAATAACAATTATGCCAGAGCTAGAATAAATGGGGGACTAACCGATAGTTTCAGGGTCACAAAGGGTGTGAGACAAGGCTGCATACTAAGCCCAAGTCTGTTTAACATCTATGGTGAATCGATGAATGGAAGGCTACCTGGGACATGAAATTATGATTGGCAAGGATAACCAGACTCATGAACTGAAGAGAAGAATCGGCCTTGGGTGGGAAGCATTTGGAAAACTGAGAGTAACTTTTAAAAGTGAGCTGCCCACATGCCTAAAGAGAAATATATTTGATCAGTGCGTCCTCCCAGTCTTGACGTACGGAGCAGAAACACTTACCTTAACAAAAGCAGCAGTTACCAAACTGAGAGTCACGCAGAGAAGAATGGAGCGGTCCATGTTAGGAATAACTATGCGAGACAGAATAACCAACGAAGCCATCAGGACAAGAACCGGAGTGACTGACATCATCGAGAAGATAGTCAGACTAAAATGGAGATGGGCAGGACACATAGCCAGAATGACAGATGGGTGATGGACAAACAGTTTATTGGAATGGAGGCCAAGGGAAGACAACAGAAGCGTCGGTCGACCACCTACAAGATAGACTGACGATTTGAGAAGACAATAAAAACTGGATAAGAGCGGCACAAGATAGACGGGGTTGAAAACACGAGGAAGAGGCCTATGTTCAGCAGTGGACTCTTGAGTCAGGATGATGATGACAGGACTGGAACGGTGGCATCACCATTGGCGGGAAGAAGATTTGCAACTTGAGATATGCAGATGATACTACTATCCTCGCTAGTTCTGAAGCTGAATTGATTCCCCTGCTACAACGGATAGAAGACGTAAGCTTACGATGGGTCTTAAAATAAACAGAGATAAAACGAGAATCATGATAATTGACAACAATCAAAATCATCTGGTCATGATAAACAATATCGCTGTTATAGATAAATTTGTGTATCTGGGCTCATTAATAACCAACAAAGAAGGCTGTACTGAAGAAATAAAGCGGCGGTCAGCAATCGCAAAAAGCGCTATGACAAAATTAACAAAATCCCTTACTGAGAAAGACAAAAAGAACATAGATGTATTTGAGATGTACTGCTGGAGACGAATGCTGAGAATACCATGGGTGGCCCGAAGAGCAAATAAATCCATACTGGACCAGCCAAACATAAAGAAAATACTAAGAACACAAATATCAGAACAGATAATAAGCTATTTTGGACATGTGCTTCGAAGAAATGGTCTTGAAAAACTTACCATCCAGGGAAAAGTAGAAGGCAAAAGAAATAGAGGTAGATCTCCCACACGATACACGGACCATATTGTTGCTACTATTGGCGCTCCATTGTCAGAATGTGCTAGAATGGCAGAAGATAGAAAAACGTGGTGGAACATTGGGAAATTTAGCTAATATCTTCATGATATCACGATACCTGTATCAGGTTAACGACTAAAAAGAAGATGATACTACACATACGTTCATTTCTTTTAACTGATGCCCATTAATTTGAACTTACATTTTAACAACATGCTTATTATTATATCTTTTAAAGCCCTGTTTATAATGTGACATACTTACTTTAAGATCGAAAGAAAAAATAATGAAAAGAGTGGTCAAAGAAAAAGGAAAAGAAGAATCTGATTATCTGAGCGTCAGTATATAATGTAAAGATCATGCAATTAGTTTTGGAAGTACTAGGACATGGCTTTTGAAAAACAGAGGAAATGTTGAAATTTCTCAGATTTGATTATTATTCTGAAATTAGCATTTTATTTCGAAGGAGTTATAATAGACATTTTAGACATAATATTTTTCGATTAAAAATTTTTTTATTTAATAAAATATCCATATTAATATAAGACTAAAAAAAAGAAAGAACCAAAACAAATTATATCTACACATCACGATCTATTGCTTTCACTATTTAGTAATTAGGGAATTTTGTTAAATATAAAACAAACAATCAAACAAAGAAGAAAAGAGAAATTACGTAATTCTAATAGATAAATTCTAATAAACAACTTAAAAAACATTTAGATTGAGAACTATGGCTTAATGAGGGTGTGGTGCAGGTAAGAAAAATTTCTATATAACAAGAAAGTTATTAATTTTTTAGTTAGTTGTGATAAACTTTTTATCTGTTTAAATTGTGTTACGCAGCAAAGTTCTACAATATGGGTAATAAGAAAAATTCTCATAAAAAGAAAGGCAAATTAGGAAGACCAAAAAAGTAAGTTTTTCAGTTTGTTGAATTTGTCTCAAATAGTATTTATTTATCACCTATTATTGTCTTATTTATTTATTGGTATATATTTATGGTATATTAAAAATGTTCTAAATTAATTTGTTGCTACAAAAAAACATAAAATAAGATAAAATGATTAATTCGACGATCTAATTCTCATCGTAAGTGATTTAAGACTTAGTTTACGGGAGAAACTTTTTTTGTTTCTACAAGAATTTCACTTATTTGAATTGTGTTGAAAGTCTACTTGCCTTTGTTTTTAAATTTTTTTATATTTTTATTATTATACAGCAGATACAAGCTACTGAAAGTGATTACGTAAAAAAAATGAGATACGGGCTATTGCAGTGATCGATGGAAATTGTCTAAATGGGTAGTATTATGAACTTATCTAAATATTAGCTCTTTGATAATGGGGATGAAGCTGATAAATCTTCTTCTTCTTTTACTATAGACAGGTCTTTTTTCAGTGTCCCTCCAGTAAGTTTTCGTTTAATCGTTTTGTGGTCTTTCTAATGATCGTCTTCCTATTGGGGAACCATCTTTTGCCATCTTTACTACTCTATTTGTTGTCATTCTGCTTATATGATCCTTCTATTCTACTCTTCTATATATTACCCAGTTCTTGATGTTCTCCACCTTGCATCTTCGTCGTATATCTGTACTTCTAGCTTTGTCCCATAGTGTCTTACCGTCAATTCTTTCATTTCTGCTGTTTCTAACATCCCTTTTGTCCTCGCTGTGTCAAGTCTTGTTTCTGCCACGTATGTCATTATTGGTCTGATGACAGTTTTTGTTTTTTTTTTTTTATTTTTTCATATTGTTTTATTCAGACAGCATGCGGCTATGTTTGCTCTATTGAGTTGATTTTCCACTTAAGTTTCGAACTTTCCGTAGCTAGATAATGTGATGCCTAGATATTTAAACTCCATCATTTGTTCTATTATCTGACCTTCCAGCTCCAATTTAAATCTTAGTAAATTTGCTGTTGTAACCATGCATTTTGTCTTTTTTTGGGAAAATTACCATGTTAAACTTTCTGGCGGTTATATTAAATTGGTACATACGTTGTAAATTATCTTTATTTTGAAAGAGTATTATTGCGTCGTCTGCATAGCAGATTATTTTAAGTTGTTTTTTTTTTTTCATTTGTTATTCTTTTTGCGTTCTTACTTTTTTATTATTTCATCCATAATCAGGTTAAACAATAGAAGACTTAGGGAATTTTCCTCTCTTATCCCATTACCAGTTTCAATAGGGTAGGTTGGTTTTTCTTCTACTTTTACTTTTAGTATGTTGTTTTGGTAGATATTTTCGATAGTTTTGATTATTCCTAGAGGTCTATTCCTAGATCTCTTTTGCGTATAGTAAGTGGACTCTTTTTCTTCAAGTTCCACTCCTATCGGAGATTGGAAATCATTCTGGCAATTATAATTTTATTGGTTACTCGCCTGAATAGTTCAATTGAACTGCATCCAAACCATTCACGGAGATTGCGTAGCCACGAGATTTTACGTCTTCCTACGCTTCTTCTACCTTTGATTTTACCCTGCATTATATTCCTTAGTAGTTCGTACTTTTCACCTCTCATGATGTGCCCCAAGTATTCCAATTTCCTAATTTTTATGGAATTTAAAACTTCGCATTGTTTTCCTAGTTGTTCGAGAACTTGTTCGTTTGTTTTGCAATCCATCCATGATATTTTCAAAATACGTCGGTAATACCACATTTCGAATGCTTCTAGGTTTTTAATGTTGGATTTTTCAAGTGTCCAAGCTTTAACTCCATACAAAAGGGTACATAAAATATAACATCGAAGCATTCTTATCCGGAGCGATATATTGATATCGCGATTACAAAAATATTTTCTCATTCTATTAAAAGTTGATCGCGCAATTTCAATGCGGCATCTTATTTCTTTTGTCTGATCAGTATCTTCTGTGATCCATGCTCCAAGGTATTTGTACGAAGATATTTGTTCAATTTCTGTATTATCTAGTACTAGCTTAACTTTGATGTTTTGTGCTTTTGTAAATACCATGAACTTGGTTTTCTTCAAATTGATTTTTAGTCCATAATCGTTGCAATATATATTTAGTTGTTCAGCAAGGTGTTGCAGTTCTTCTAGTGTTCCTGCCAGAAGGATGGTGTCGTCAGCATACCTTATGTTATTAAGTGGATCATCGTTTATTATAAGGCCCTCACTGCTCTCGGCAAGCGCTAATTCTGAGATGGCTTCACTGTATAAATTGAATAACAAGGGTGATAAAATACACCCTTGGCGGACCCCTCGGCGAATCTGGATATCCTTGGTCAGTTCGTTTTCAACTTTCACTTTTGCTGTTTGATTCCAATAGAGGTTACAGATGATTAAAATGTTTCTACTGTCTATGTTTTTATTTAATAAAATTTCTTTAAGTCGATTATGCTGCACTCTGTCAAATGCCTTCTCAAAATTAATGAAACAGGCATATACTTCCTGACTAATATCTAAGCATTTCTGCGAAAAATCACTTACTGCAAACAGTGCATCTCGTGTTCCCAGTCCTTTCCTAAATCAAATTTGTGTATTACTTATGCTTTCATCTAATTTCTTATGTATTCTATTGTGAATTACTTTTAAAATCAATTTCAAGAGATGACTCATTAAGGCTATGGTGCGATGTTCATTGCACTCCCTTGCATTGGCTTTTTTGGGAAGCAGTATGAATGTTGATTGGAGCCATTCTTTAGGTATTATACCTGTTCTATATATGGTATTGGATAGATCCAAAAGAAGATCAACAGATTCAGTATTCACAATTTTAAGTAATTCGATAGGAACTTCATCAGGCCCGGGAGATTTACTACCTGTAGTTTGTTTCATTGCATATTCAATTTCTTCTCGTATAATGTCAGGCCCAGTATCATCCTTAAATTCTTTTGGTGCTTCTGTTCTCTCTTTGTCTTCAAAAAGTTGTGCTATATATTGTGTCCATCTCTGCATTTTTTGGTTTATATCTGTTATAAGTGCACCCTTTTCATCTCTTAGTTGCCTAGTTTGAAGTGTTTTTCTCATTCTTGTTAATTCTCTAATTCTTTTATGCATGTTAAAAAAGTCATATTTTTTCTCCATTTCTTCTGGCATTGCTCATGTAACATTCTCTCCTTAGCTTCTTTTATTTTCTTTTTTATTAATCGATCAGTTTCATTATATTTAATTGGATTTTTTGTTTTGAATGGTTTTTCTATCTGAAGTGGATAACGTCTTATAATTTAACCCGGTCAAATGCCTTCTTAAAGTCCACGAAACATGATATGTCGGTTTTTTGTATTCTAATGATTTCTCTTTCACTTGCCTCATTATAAATATAGCGTCGGTGCATGATCTTCCCGACCTTAAACCTTGTTGTTCTTCTTCTCGTGTTATAATTTCATTCCATGTATTTGTTATCACTTTGGTTGTTAATTTTAGTGTTGTGTTTAATAAAATAATTCCTTTGTAATTTTCGGGGTCCGATGTGCCTCACTCTTTGTAGAGTGGAATGAATTAGGATGCTTGTTCTCCATTCTTGAGGAATTCCGTTTTGTTCTATTATTTTTTCGATTAGTTTTAATAGTTGTTGGTCAGATCTGGTCCTTTAGGAGTTCGTTCGGTATTATGTCCTCTTCTATGGATTTTGAATTTTTTAGTTTCCTTACTCTGTGACTCTGTACCAAGATCAGAACTATGGGAGACAATGTACAAATTAGAAACACAAAAGCTCTGCATAAAGAAAATATAGTGTCCATTAAAGTGGGAATAATAATCATAGGAGACTTTATCACAACAAAAGGGCTCCTGCAGGGTTGTTCCACATCTCCAACCCTATTTAAAATATACTTAAAAAGGCCTTGACTACATGGAAAAGAAAATACGAAGGCATGGGAGTACCGGTACGAAACGAATACCTATATACGTTAAGCTTTGCAGACGATCAAGTAGTGATTAAACAAGACCAAGACGACCTCAGCTACATGATAAAGAAACTACAAGAAGAATATACCAAGGCTGGCCTAGATGTTAATCTCGTGAAAACAGAGTACCTATATACAAGTGAAGAAGACCTAGATGTTAATCTCGCGAAAACAGAGTACCTATATACAAGTGAAGAAGACCTAGATGTTAATCTCGCGAAAACAGAGTACCTATATACAAGTGAAGAAATCATGGAAGATCTACAGCTTGATGACAACGTAACAATCAAAGGAAAGGATAAATTCAAATAATTGGGCTTTATAAGCACAAAAAAGGCAACAACAGAG